ATGTGAAGTTTCACATGTGAATTTGGAACATGTGAAACATAATTTCACATGTGAAATTTCACATGTGAAAAATCACATGTTCCAAATTCACATGTGAAATTTCACACATGTGAAATCATGTGGAATTTTTGTAAGGGTTTGGGCAGTTGCGCATGATATATTTTGATTCTATATTTTGTGTGGACAAACTATTTAAAGCATTTTGTTAATAGACATTCCCAGGGAAAATTACCACATGCAATCAACACCTAATCTCGAACCACTGCTAAGAATTAACTATATAGACCATCCCTTGTGAGACAAATATAGGAAGCTTAAACAAAACGTACCGGCCTCTCACAGTGGCTCAGAGTTTCATGTCCAATTCGGAAGATTCAGGGCCTTCGCTCGAAACGTTTCTTGTATTTCTCTGGTAGTTAGGCTATCGACGAAATCTTGTTATTATTGGCACTACCTACACTGAGACCGTTCATGCTTTCTAAATACAAACACACTTCTAACATCTGTCGCTGATTTTTAAATTTCTATACCTGCTGTTATGGTAATTAATATATTATATTAAATTATAGTATAATAATGAATTTGCTAGGTAATAAACAATACCGAGACTTTCTATAATGGCTATAATATTGATACACTGAGAAATTGAAGTAGTTTTATGAGTAAACTCATACCTGACAGGTGACAGTAATCTTTGCTAAAGTTGATGACAATCTTCTCAGCTCAAAGCAATTACTGGCATCTGATTACCCATGCAGGTAATAGTTTTATACTCTAATGTACGAATGTACATAAAGCACTTTTGCGTGACGAAACAAAGACCATGCAGTCTGACGTCGTGAGCACTGCAAATGGTCTCATACAATTTGTGTCAATCTTGAGGTGTGTCTCTCGCAATATGCACGACAGTTGGTCGAGTTTGGGTAATGGTCGAGTGTCGAGGGTCGAGCGTCATAGCTCGAGGGTCGAGGGTCATAAGTCGAGGGTCGAGGGCATAGAAATAATAGATAGAATGCGTACTCCTATCTTTTCGCAGTTAAAAAATTGTCTCCACAAAATGGCGGATTTATAAGGGCATTTTGGTTGGCCCCAAAATTTATATCAAGACTTAAAATGGAAAAAAAATTACAATCGACGAAAAAGTGTCTAAAAACCCATTCTAGTGAGCTTTTTTTACGAAAAGCAACAGTTCTGAACAGAATATATACAGAAATCGTCGTTTAGAAATAAATTTTCAACACTGTTGTGCAAGCCAAAACAAAACGGAAAACCCGAAAGATCAAGACAAACTCAAACTCAATAGGTATGTTCTACAAATATTTCAACTCTTTTACAATATAAATGAAGTTCAATAATCTTTTTAAACTTACACAATTACTTTTCATATTTTTCTACGTTGTCGGAGCTCGGAGGCAACGCTTTTGAAACCATAGTTTTCGACGATTATTTAGACAATTTACAGTTTATCGACAACTAAATATTCTTGTTTCAAGAACATGTGAAACACTTCGTTTACATTGAAGAAAAACGAAACCCGCCGACGAAGAAAGAACTATTATTTTGTAATCTTATAAAATATAGCAAAACCGTGAAGTAGTGACGTTCAGAGCATGCAAAAATGTTTTATGAGTAAATTATATTTACGCGAAACTACTTTGTTTTTACAAGGCTGCACTATTTTCACCGTTTTTGTAACTGCACACTATTGCTTTGACAGTTTGTGTCTTCAAAGAACTCAAAATCTATCCCCAAACTACAAATTAGACAACAAGACAAACGTTTTGAAGATTAAAACGTAGTCTTAGCTTTGTTTATATTTTGTATTTGGCACTCCTAGACAAATTTAAAATGGCGGATTTATAAGGGCACGCATGAGAAAAAGTGGAGACATGATTCGTGATCAAGTACGCATTCTATATCTATTATTTCTATGGTCGAGGGTCATAAGTCGAGGGTCAAGGGTCGAGGGTCATAAGTCGAGGGTCGAGGGTCATAGGTCGAGGGTCGAAAGTCAAGGGTCAAAAGACGAGGTCGAGGTTCAAAAGTCGAGGGTCGAAAGTCGAAAATACTAACGGCTTATTGACCGAGCGTGAGGTCTGTACTGTGAAATATCAGACCGAGGTTTTTTAGTATGGACCGAGCGACGAAGGAGCGAGGTCCATGCAAAAAACAGAGGTCTGATATTTCACAGTACAGACCGAACAAGCGAGGTCAATAATCGGTTTATTATATGGTTGAACTGAATCTATGAGCATATGCTTTTCGTGCGAATTAAATCGGCTACGTCAGTTTCACTGGGTAACAATATACGGTAGGCATGCATGCTCAATCAAAAACAATTTGATTGTTTGAAATATTTATCTGTAAATTTTAATGACACACAATTGGAAAATTAAAAAGCAAAAATTTTTTCTGTTTGCAAAGCAAAAATTTCCCGCCAGATAAACGACATCCGGGACACCGGTCCAGATACGGAAAATACGGACCACGGTCCGGATATGGGTTTTTACGGACCGCTTGTCAACCAATCAGAATAGAGAATTTTGAAAAGCCATATAATAATAAATTTTATATCCACTTTAAAAGTTTTACAACTATTAAACGCGGCAAAACAATTAGTTTTTCTGTCAAAACTGAAAAATTTCGCCTATGGCTATGCCGTATGGCTATATAGGTACTGTATAACTGAAAGTTTCGCTTGTGGAACTAAAAGTCGGATGCGCGGTTTCATGTTTGAAAGAATACATCTTTTATTTTACATTGAAGTTTAAAATATACAAACACGGACGATTATACAAAAATGGCCTGGCGTTTAAACCACTCTCATGAAAAATTTGATTATAGGTAATATTTTATCTCTTGGAGGCGAAAGAGTTCTGAAATTCTTAGAACTTCAACTTAACGATACTCCTCATACAGCATATGGTTTTGGAGGTTTAAAGCGTTAGGGTGTGCGAGAAACAGTTTATATATTTTATAACTTCATGTCTGCACTGGAAGTGCACATGTTCGATTGACAGTTTCATATTCACAATATAGTTGCGAGAACGTTGTAGTGTAATAAAATGGAAACTTTCTTTAGTTATTCTGTCAAAAATAACATGCACGAAGCACGAATCTTTATAGCAGGGTGATTTTAGTCCGGTTCAGAATTATCTCATGACCATTGTGAGAGATTTTTGCTGCGCTGGGACTCGATTCGTTCTGATTGTACAATAAATACAATATATTTTCGAATCACCCCACCGCCATCGTACGTTCTCGAATAGTTTTAGTAATTTTACATTTTCTCGAAAAACGAAAAGGAACCTAATTATGCCCTAAGGCATGTTCTGTACTAAACAGTAATAAAGTTAGTTATCAGGAGAACCTTTAAAATTTTGACAACAAACGCCAAAAATGTAGTATTCTAAAAATGTATTAACAAAATATTAATATTTTCCATTTTCGACCCTTGAATTTCGACCCTCAACTTTTGACCCTCGACCTCGACTTTCGAACCTCGACATATGACCCTCGACCCTCGACGTATGACCCTCGACATTCGACCATTACCCAAACTCCAGTTGGTCTGAGTTGGACGGTCTGGCCTTATTTTCAAAATTTTCTTTTTGACCTCGTTTTCTGAGTGGCCAAAAACTCTATAATTATTACACTTGTGTTTATATAATAAAGCACTTTAATTTAAGCATAACCGCAAACAAGACGTGTTCTGGCGCAACTTTCCACCAAGGTCATCCTCTTGAAGCCATTAGCTGATCGACACATCTGCAAGCTGCTCCCGATTTACTGTTCGGAGTACAGTTTTTCGGAACACTAATGCAATGGAACAGAACACAGTCGCATGACTGTTTTGAACTGTTCTGACTACCCCGATTTTCAAGTAGGGGTAGCCAGAACAGACACGTGACACTGACTATTTTCACGTGATTGGAAATGGAGGCGACATATTTGGTGTATCCAATGCACACTGCATAGAGTGTTATTTTGAAGGGCTAACCGCTATATATCGACATATACATCGACATATGGTTATATATATATATATATATATATATATATATATATATATATATATATATATATATATATATATATATATATATATATATATATATATATATATATTGTAACATGGCAGTGTTATACCATGTTATTTAATATATTCAATACTATATTCAATACTATATATTCAGTATACTGTTATAATTATAAGAGGAAGACCTTAGGCAACCTTCCTCGCATGAATAAGCAAATAGTTAGAGAGATTAAAGAACCACGGGAAACGCCTAGTACCACAAACCACGCAAACAGGACATAGTTTTGTGGTTGATAAACACTGCAAGAACTTGCTTTGACAAACATATTGCGTAGAGGAAATTAGTCATAGTTACAGATTTCTTCCTCTAAAATTTATTATAAAAGCTGGGCACAACCTGAGAGTCGGGAGGGGAGAGTGAAGTGAGAAGAGCCATTTAGGCTAAAATACTTCATAAGCCAACAAAGGCTGAAGTATATAATTAAAAGGCTAGATAATTAAGCCTCGTCAAGTAAACTGAAGAACATTGGAATATTGGGGAATAATTATTATTAAAGAAGACGGAATACAAAGTATAAAGAATAAAGATTCAAAGTTGTGCTCAGCTCAAACAAATAGAGAGATAAGTTGATATATTAAGATTACTATATTATTATAACATTATAGAGACGCTAATTCATATTGTTGAAAGTAAATAAAATATATAAAAGGTATAAGGTTTCATGCTATTTGTGTTACGGTAGCGTTAATATAATTTGAACCAGAAGCCTAAAGGTTGAAAATATACCTAATTGGAAAATATATTTGACGCATAAATAACGCACCATAACAATATTCGTTTGTGAACTCTTTTTAACCAACTATATATGTATAGGTAATAGTATGGTTTTGAGTGCAATTTGGGAAAAACATACACGAGTTGATCAAAATTTGAACTGGTTTTTGAAAAACCCACGAGTATGTATGTTTTTCCAAATTGCACGAGAAACCATACTATTACTTATTAATAATATACATGAAAAAATTATGCAGTCACAGGCATGCATAGGTCACGTGCGAAATTTTAATATAAACTATTTTATTACTAAAAACGCCAGCCATTTTTGTCACTTGTAAATGTTTGGGGTTTTTGTATTATTTTCTGCTCGAAATTACTGCATGTATGTTATAGTCAATGAATAGTCAATAGTCACCGTATTTCGAAAAAATTGCACTGCTCTTAGTCAATCAGAATTGAGGAATTTTTCATGTATATTATATCCCCAAGCCAAACGGCGCGAAATACCGTTCCGGACGTATAAGCCCAGGGCGAGGGTACTAATTCCGCACGGCTATTTACACCGGGAAAAGGAAGGCTATTAGAGGTTTCAAAAGTGGGATAGTGGGTGGTCATCTCACTGATCTCAAAATATGGTGGATTGCCAAGAGTGGAATGAGCCAACTGCTGAGATTTCAGTAAAAAAGAATGAGAACATGAGAAAGTCGTTTCTTACAATTAGCTGTAAAGCAATTTTTTAAATTTTACTTTAAAGAAATGACAAAAAGAGAAAAAAGATGGGAAATGATGAAATATAAAGCAAGTTTGTTTTTAATCGTAAATATATATATATAGTATTACGTTGTTTTCGGGTGAAACACTTGCCTCCTAAATTGCCCTATTATTTCTGTATGATTGTATGATTGAACTGATTTCGTTGCAAGTAATAAAAACACTAAGTTAAATAGTCAATTTAATCGGCAAAAACCATCAGTGGCAAAAACTGCCAAACAACAGCATATATAAAGTTAAATGAACATTTCGTGAAGCGTTCAAGGTTGAATATTACCTTAAATTCAAGCTTATAGAGTGAAAAATAACATACCTACTTTATGTATTTTAGAAATTGTTAGTTCGATAGT